GATTTGAAATTATATGAAAAGGAAGACCACAACAAACAAAAAATCTAGTAAGAGCTTGATTACATTTTTTTTCTTTTCCAATATCAATTTTAATATTATCAAACATTGTAGAATTTTTTGATTTTGAACTTTGATTCGTTTAGTAGAAGAGGAGGCTGTAGTAGAGAAGGTGATAGTAGAAGAGGAATTCTCATATGTTGTACAATTTTTTATTTCTTGTAAAAATATGTTTTTGATTTCTTCAGTTGCCTGCATACATGTGAAAGCTAAATGTTCAATCATTTCAAAGCTTTTCCAATCTTTTTTGTCCATTCACATAATTTACAAATATATCCAATATGCCTATTTTTTTTTCTCTATCTTCTTCAAAATATTTTCAAACTAATGTTTTTTCTTTCAAGCATTTTAATTTGAATATTATTTATATTACTTTCATTAAAGTAAATATCAGATAAATCTTCAAAATTTGAATTTATCATTTCTGACATTATTACTAAAAAAAAATACACTACAAAAAATTAAAAAAAAAAAGTAAAAAAAAAAGTAAAAAAACTTTAATAAAAAATGATATGAATAAAACCAAAAAAAAAAAAAAAGTAAAAACTTCTGAATTATAATTTGTTACCATAATCACAAAAAAAAATTAACTCAAAAAGAAAGAAGAAGAGAAAATTTAAAAAAGATTTTAAAAAAAATGATTAGATTATCTATAAAATAACTCTATATACAAAGCTATATTAAATTTGATTAATTTAAATATATTAGATTAGGCTATAATAAAAAAGGCAATATAATTAAGACTAAGTAAGGCTATGTATTAATCAGAATTATAAATAAACTTTTATTTAATTAGTTACAGTAATCTGTAAAAACATGATTTATATTTAAAAGCTTAGAAATTTTTTTTAGCAAGCTAACTATTATAAAACAAATACTAAATTCTGATACTTCTTAGTGCAATGATTCTAACAAGCTAAAATCATCCAAATCGGATCAGTAGATCATGAGAAATTGATGTGTAATGATCGATTACACATTATATAAAATAGTGAAACTAATTTTTTTATATTGCATAACTGAACCTTACACGTTTATTACTTACAATCTACTGATCCTGATTTGGATGATTTTTAACTTGTTAGAATTGCTATAATGAGGAGAATCGAAATCTAATATCAATGAGTTATAAGCTTTTAAAGACAAGCAATCATATTTGCATTTCTTTTTATTTAATTAGTTTTATTTATATGCAAATGCAGTTAAATTATTAATAAAATAAGTTAATTTATTACATCTTAATTATGTCAATCAGATGCAAATCAGTTTTATTTCCTTTATCTAGTATTTATGCATGTTGATCAGATTAATTATTTTTATCATTTTTTAGTAATTTCATTATTATTTTTAAAAAAAAAAATAAATAAAAAATTTTTTAAATATCTCGTTCCAATTTTTTTATTATTTTTAAACTCTATCCACCTATTATAATTTCTTTTTTAATTCAGCTCGTCGAGGGTTTCAAAACAAGCTGAATTTGATATAAATTGGATCAGTAGAAGCGAAGTTATTCAAGAAATTATAAAGGCAATTATTTTTAACAAGGATCATGAGAAGATCTTGAGCAAAGCTCAATACAAAAAATGGAGCAAAGAAAGTTGAATGAAAACTAATAAGACAGAATACTAATTTCAGGTTCTGTGAATCTAAATAAAATGAGAAATTAGTACAATTATATGTGAGAAAACATAGCTTCCCATAGACTCTCAAAATCAATATTATGATGCTATGAATACATCATAACTCTGATCATCGTCGTAACGTTACCCAAAGGTTATAGAAATACAAAACTAAAGCGACCAGATTCAGCTCATCGAAGGCTTCAAAATAAGCTAAATTTGATAGAAATTAGATCATAGGAACGGAGGTTAGCATTAAGAGTAGAATAATTACTGTGTCATATCATCATATGATTACCACTTCACAAAATACTTTTAAATTATTATGTAAGAAGATTTTACTAGTATTAACTAGTGCTGACACAATAAGTCCTTAGCAATTGTTTGGGTTTTACTTACATTGTCAAATGCACATGCAAAAAGATGCATAAATGCATAAATTAACCAAATAAATGATTTATATATGTTGATCAGATATAAATATTGATCAGGTTTTAGTAAAATCATTTAGAAAAATAAGGGGTAAGAATTATTTTTTGAATTTTTTATTTTTATTTTTATTTTTTTTTTAAAAATTCTGCCCATTATATTTTTTAAACTATATTTTAGTTTTTTAAATTCCATTTGATTATATTTTTTTTATAACTCTGTCATTTCAAACTTTGCTCTATTATATTTTTAAATCTCTGCTATTTCAAACTCCGCCCTATTCAAACTTCATCTGAATTTATTTTTTTAAAATTCATTTCAAATTCAGCCTTCAAATTCATTCAGCCTTTAAACTCTGCTTCTTTGGATTTTAAGATTTTTTTTTTTTTTGATATTTGAATTTTAAATAAATAATTTATGAAAGAAATTTTGAATTTTTTTTTGTTGTTTTAAGAATATTAACAAGTTTCTTTTTTCCTTTCTTTAAAGAAATTATCTCTTT